GTTTCGCAGTTCATCCAAGCTGGTTCTTCAGTGTGTGCATTGCAGGTCCATGGTAACTGTGAACATTCTGCCAATGCACATGGGTCATTCCTCGCCAAATCTCCAAATGCCCCCGCTCGACCATCTCAGATTTGACTGAACATTTTTTACGAGTTTCACACACTTTCCAATAGGAAAAGTCCCACATTTTAGGTCCCAACTCCTCATACTTTTGTCATTAAAAATATTTTGTCAACTCCCCCCTGACCTGTTTTGAATTTTCCAAGGAGCCACAAACTATTTAAGGTTGGTCTTTCAAATTTTAAAGGGTTAAAATTTGGCAAATGTGCTTATAGAATCTGGACTTTTAGACATGTGCTTTTGATTTATCACAGATTTCTGGGGGCTTGAATTCTGGGAAGTAGAATTTTCAGGCAAATTCAAGCCCCCAGAAATCTGTGATAAACCAAAACCACATGTGTAAAAGTACATTTGCCAAATTTTAACCCTTGAAAATTTTAAGGACCGATCTGAAATAGTTCTTTAGATAGAGCAATCTGAAAGTGGCTCCTCGGAAAACTCTGCTCAGAACAGGTCAGGAGGGAGTTAACAAAATATTTTTAATGACAAAACTATAAGGAGTTGGGAGCTAAAATTTAGGATTTTTCCTGTTGGAAAGTGTGTGAACCTCCTAGAATTTTTTCAGTCAAATCTGAGATGGTCGAGCTGGGGCGTGGAATGAAACCCATACATGTAGAACACCCCCAGTAGGACGCCACTGCAAAGTATCAATTACTATCAGAATTAGACCTGCTCACGTTGGAAAGTTTTCATGTTCTCCCCGTGGATGAGTTTCAGGGGTCTCCAACCTGTAGCTCGAGAGCCAAAAGCAACTCTCCACCCCTTCCAAGTAGCTCGCCAAGGGATTTCAGAATTATACCATTGTGCTGAATAACAAAAATTTGCTTAATTATATGCCTAGTATCACTGTAAATGTATGATTTTGATGCCCAACTTTGTGCACTAATAAATGGACAATGGTTTATGTTTTATAGGCATCTAACTGTACCCTAAGGCTCAACTTTCTTTCTAATAATTGTCTCAATTTATTGTGGCTGCTAGAATTAATAGCTCTCTGGTGTTTTAGTTTTGTAAAGGAGCTCACCGGAGGAAAAAAGTTGGAGACCCCTGATTTAAAACAAGCTCAAGATCTGGACATCGGGACAAGATTGTCTCAATGGACTGGGCAGTGGTCCCCTAACCCAAAAGTCGGACAGTAGATTCATGCTAGAACCAGCTTCTGTTTTATGTGTGATTAGGCAAGAAACTTCACCCACCATGCCTTGTGTGAATGTGGTGTGTGTGTGTGAGAGAGTTGGTGATGGTTGGAGGGGCTGATGCCGCAGATTGGCAGCCATGCTTCTGTCAGTCTGCCCCAGGACAACTATGGGTTCAATAGTATGGAATATGGAGTGAATTAATAGTGCAATGTAACAGTCTTTGGGTGTTTTAAACATAGGCGTAGGTTGTAATGTACAGTTTGTGTCCATTGTCCTTCTAAGATGATTCTTTAGCAGAAAACAGCGATGTAGAAGTTTGTAGCAGATTTCCCTTTGCTTGTTGGTGATGAGATATTTGTGAGGTCATGTCCGTACATTTTTCCATGGAATATTGTCAGTAGAGTCCGGCTGCTAACAGCGCACGAGTAGGGCTCCGTTTGGGAGGTGCACTTGTGGTGATATTCGCTCTTTTTCCGCAGCGACTCAATATAAGGCAAGTTTAAGTTAAGATAAAGCCAAATGAGTTCCCTTTGAAATGTTTTTCAAAATTTGGTGCGCAGCATCTTCACTCACTCCTGCTCAAGCCGACATCTTCAGGTGCTAGTCCTGTTCTGCCGCTTTCCCAGTTTAGGCTCCTGGCTCCACTAATGACATCACTCTGTTACAGCCAATGAAACAGCGGCAGAAGTAACCCATCAACCCGTCATATCACAATACATCTCAGAACGTCTAAGAAACAAAATGTGAACTAAAACATGTTCAATTAATACTACTGAGTTTGGAAAAATATCTGAAATAATTTATATTTGTGTTAATTAAAATAAAAAGCAAATATATAGGGACTATTTTCCTTTCCCCAAATATTGGCTGTGACATGTCCCCACTGTCCCGATGCAAACCTATGCCCTTGGTTTTAACCTCTCAGGCTCAAATAAATTTTTAGTATCAGGAAAAATCTGATATTTGGGGAAAATTATAATATGGGGTAGTAATATACAATCCTGACTTTTTTATCCTATGTAAACAAAAAAAGTATTTTGCACTTCTGGCAGGCCGTTTGCGTGTAGTCATTCTTGCACAGTCTGCATCGTCCACGTTTATCAGCATGGATGGGAGAAAAGGCTCCTGAGTAAAAAAAAGCTCATAAAATATGGATGTGGAGTAAGTAGGTAATTGGAATTTAGCTGTTGCAAATCTGCAACGCCTGCCTGGAGAGGGTTAAAAGGTATTATATCAATTCAATGCATTTTATTGGTGCCCACTTCTCCTCGCACACAGTTAGTGTTGACACTGGCTATTTTCTGTTTTCCTCAGGCACCCACTGCGGTCATGTAGCCCCTCAGGATATAGTCAGCATTTCTAACACACTGCACATCAGCTTCTCCTCCAATGAAAAAGTAGTGGACACAGGTTTTCACGCCCAGTGGAGAGCCGTGGACGCTTCAGAAGGTAAGACTTTAAAGAGCTCATATTACACTATTTTCTGATCTATGTTATAGTGTTATTTTATCATCACAAACAGACCTGGAGTTGTGTTTTGTTTCATTTGCACATGTTTAATACACTCTATTCCACCTTGTGATGTCATGTGGTAATACAAGAACTCCATACACACCAAAAAAAAGCAAAATGTAGCTAAATTAAAATGACTTAAATTAAGAACATTTTATTTTATTTGAGTAGATTCAACTTGACAAGTGAAATTATCTACCAGCGAAATAAGTGTGTTTTTCTTAATTCAAGCAACATTAGATTTTGTGCAGAAAGTTGTTGTTTTTCTTATTTTAAGAGTAGCAACATGTATTTTCATATATTAAAGTCTTGTTTCACTGGTAGATTTTTTTACTTGTCAAGTGAAATTTACTCAAATCATGATCAAACTTTGGTTGGTGTCTTGCCCTCTCCGGGTGGGTGGAGAGTCCCCGCCACAAGTGGAGGAGTTCAAGTATCTCGGGGTCTTGTTCACGAGTGAGGGGAGGATGGAGCGTGAGATTGACAGGCGGATCGGTGCAGCGTCGGCAGTGATGCGGTCGCTGTATCGGACTGTTGTGGTGAAGAGGGAGCTGAGCTGAAAGGCGAAGCTCTCGATTTACCACTCAATCTGTGTTCCTCCCCTCACCTATGGTCATGAGCTCTGAGTAATGACCAAAAAGACGAGATCGTGGATACAAGTGGTCGAAATGAGTTTCCTTCACAGGGTGGCTGGGCGCTCCCTTAGAGATAGGGTGAGGAGCTCAGTCACATGGGAGGAGCTAGGAGTAGAGCTGCTGCTCCTCCACGTCGAGAGGAGCAGCTGAGGTGGCTCGGGCATCTGTTCCTGATGGCCCTGGATAAGCGGAAGACAATTGGATGGATGGATGATAAAACTTTCTTAATTCAAGTCATCTTAACTTGGGTAGATTTTGTTTTTTGCAGTGTACACCTTCACTAGAATCATTTAGGTAATTTCATCTCTGGAACTTCCCTTTTCTACTGAAGTCAAAGGTAAAAGGAGCTGTTAACTTAAACTACAGCTTCATGACATCACAAGGTGGAACAGAGCATTTTGAGCTTTGGAGATGTACAGTAGACAGACTAATAATAAAGGATTACACAAATGTGTGAATGAAACCAAACACAACTCCAGGTCTGTTTTTGATTCTGTCATAACTTAAAGCTCAATACTGGACCTTTAATGTAACACAATTTGTATACAGGTATTTGTTTAGCTCAAAATCCCGAATGGTAGAGATCAAACGTGTTTTTTTCTATTTGCCAAGCACCATGCGGAGGCAGCTTCAGCTCTGAGCAGGGAGAGATGACGTCTCCGAACTGGCCCAATGACTACGCGGCCCAGTCTGTTTGCACATGGACTGTCAAAAATCCCAGTGCATCAAGTATCCATGTGGCGTTCACCCACTTTGAGTTGCAAGCTGTGAACGTGCTTGGCAAATGTGTGGACTACGTGGAGGTTTTCAACGGAGCAACGATGACATCAATAGGTGAGTTTTCTTACTACAACTGAACCAGAATGAAACTAAAACTAGACCAGGACTAACTCTGAAATAAAGCAGGTCTAAAGCAGAATTAAACCAGGACTAAACCGGTAAATAATAGAAATTTCATAATATTAGGAAGATGGGCCAGATTGACAGGTTTTTAACATTCTCAGTTTTTTACTTTATTTGTTGCGATAATACCTGTTGTACATATAAATGACCGAGTCACACCAATCAAGAACAACTTTGTGAAGAAGAAGAAAAAAAGAAGAAGAAAAATTTTTAAATATGTTGAAAATTACAGGAAATAGAGAGTTCTAAAACACACTGATGAATTCCATCCAAACGTTCGGTACAATTTACACAAAATAAATAATTTCACTGACACTTTAAACATGAGTTCAACACTCTACTGTAAATGTGTTTTCTCATAATATTATTTGTTAAATAATAATTTATGTGTACAAAATGGTTGCTAGGTAACAGGATTTCCCTAGTGTGATGTCATGATTTCCAAAAAATAGTGAAATTTAGGAGTGTGCAAAAATAGTGATAATATTGACATATCGTATCGTTTAATGTGATGATTACTACTGCAACAACACATCATCAGTAGGGTAAAACTAAACTGTCTCACGGCAGTCTAACCCCAGCTCACGTTCCCTATTACTGGGTGAACAATCCAACGCTTGGTGAATTCTGCTTCACAATGATAGGAAGAGGCGACATCGAAGGATCAAAAAGCGACGTCGCTATGAACGCTTGGCCGCCACAAGCCAGTTATCCCTGAGATAACTCTTCTGACACCTCCTGCTTAAAACCCAAAAAGTCAGAAGAATGTGCAAAAATATCGAAATATTGACATATCGTATCGTTTAATGTGATGATACAGTATCGATATCGTGGACTGCTGTATTTATATATTGCTAAGAGTATTTTTTGGTATATTATACTCAATTATTTTCTTACAGTGCTACAGTTTTGTTGTTTGTTCATAGGAAGGAAACTCATATATACAGCACATTTGAAGTTTTTACATTTTTGAGGATTAAAATGTTTGTTTCATATTCACTTTGCACAAGAAGTGGTTTAATAAAGACTTTTGGCATCACGGACATGATTTAGCCTTTATTTTTATTGAACGGTATCGAATCGATTTGAAATTTATTTTATGGAATCGAAAGTTGTATGTATCGTATCGTGGCCTATGTATCGAGATATGTATCGTATCGGCAACTTCGTCATGATACCCAGCCCTAGTGAAATTTTAAAGGTGCACTGCGCAACTTTTCTTTTCCATTTGTGGTTACACGACTGCATGTTATTACCCGGAATGTCCCACAGTATTAAATTAAACTTATCTATCACATATATATGCTCACATTTTATTGCTCAAAAATACATTGAAAAACATAAATCTTTGTTTGAAGGTGGGCTTCAAAACAAACTGACCTAGATTTGTGGAGAGGCAACCCCGCTCAGTCAGAATAGTTATTTTAGTTATTTATTTATTTCATTCCATCAAAACATACAAGACATGAATGAAAAGGAGCAGGAAGAAGAGTCAGCTTAAGTTATCTGCCCCCTTTTCTCCTTTCCAGACAAAACATCAACACCGATAGTTACTTTAAAACATTTAAAATCAGTACATTTCAGTTCAGTCACGATTATTAATCAATTGTAAACAGAAATCTTCACGATAATGCACAACAACTTCCTTTTTCATACATACACATCGCATTGGATTTTATGTGTTGTTTTATGTACTTAATTCTTTTATATCTTTGTCAAGACTATTCCATAAATTATTATTATTGAATACCTACATTTTTGAGCTATAAAACTACCTGTAATAGAATAAATTTAATGTCGAGCTGTTTAATGTCATACTGTGGAATATTCCCTGCTCTACAGAGGTCGGTGTGTTTGATTCTCTGTTACAAAGAGGATCTGCTTCTCGTTGTACAGGTCGATTCTGTGGATTTGCCCCTCCGAACGCTATTACCGTCCCTGCGAACAGCGTGATCGTGCGCTTCGTCAGTAATAGAGACAATCAGCAGAGTGGTTTCCGTGGATACTGGACCACCAATCCTGCTGTTATTCCCACCATTCCTCCTCCACCTCCTAACCCCTGGGACAACATCACCATCAGTAAGTGTTAATACTCGAAAAAGATACGAGCTTTTCAACACACCAACAGAGTCACTGATTACCCATACTGTTTAATCTTACACAGAGTTATATCTAAAAAATAATAATGATCAAATAAATAAATAATAAAAATACATTTTCTCTTCCAGCCTGGCCTAAAGATTGTGGGCAGCCCGCGATCAAACCAAGTAATGCCACTCTGAGGGTGGTCAATGGAGTGGAGGCCGTGCCCCATTCATGGCCCTGGCAGGTTTCTATGCAGGTGAGCAGCATTTTTAAAGTGGTTTTAAAATGACCGATATTATGCAATTTTCTGATCTATGTTATAATGTTGTTTCTTCATCATAAGTAAATAAGTTAAGTAAACCTTTATTTATATTGCACCTTTCATGGATAAAAAATCACAAAGCGCTTTAAAGTGCAATGAACAACAACAACAACAACATATACAAGAACAGAGGAATTACACGGTCAACTAAAAGCTTATCTAAAAAGCAGCTTCTTGAGGTGTTTTTTAGAAGAGTCTATAGCAGACATGTTAGACTCAGGCCCAGGGATCAAATTTGACCGCGATATAATTATATTTAGCCCACGAGATCATGTCAAATATGTATTAGAGCTGCCCGCCGGCTACAGATTGACTATAGAGACATTATTTACTTAAAATGTTGTTATTATTTTATATTATACTTGTTCTGGATTCAGTGTTTAAGCAAAACTATTATTAAACATTTATTTTAGTAAGAAAAGGTTTAACATTACATACCTCGTAAGAAGAGAAAACATGCAGATGTTGTTGAAATTTTTCAATAAATATTTAGTTTGGCCCACGACTTCATCCCAGTTTTTAATTTTTGGAAGGCTAGGGGTACGGCATTCCATAATTTGAGGGCCACAGTCTGAAAGCACACGTCCCTCCGAGTTTTAAATCGGCTCTTTGGGATCATCAAGAGGCCCTGACCTGAGGACCAGAGGGTGCGGTCTAAGGTGTAGGGGCGCAGGAAGTTACTGATGTACTGGGATGCCTTTCCATTTAAAGCTCTGTAAGTTAAAACCAAGATAGATTTTAAAATCATAACAGAACTTAACAGGAAGTCAGTGCAGTGAAGATAAAACTGGTGTAATGTGTGTTCTCCTGTTAGCTCCTATTAAAAACCTTTCAGCCGTGTTTTGCACAAGTTGCAGCTGCTTAAGTTTAGAAGCGTTAAAACAAGTAACAAGAGAATTACCAAGATCTAAAAAATATGAAATAAAAGAGTGAACAGTCATTTCAAGATCTGCATTTGAAAAAAATTTTTCTCAGTTTAGTGATGTTGTGTAGCTGCTAAAAACTGTTTTAACCACTTGGCTGCAGTGACCTAGCCTGATTCATCAGCCAGTTTCACTTCGTAGAAACCGTCTGACCTCGCAGCATTAGGATTTGTTTGCGTGACGGTAGGGGGTACTTTTTATCATTTAACCAATTGCTGATATTTGGTAGTCACGTATGTAATGCACCGCTAACAGAGCTAACTGGTATATTAAGCTTTTCCCAAATCCTGTAGGAAGAAGGCCAATAACGTCTTTCCCCGTGATGAAATTCACCAAATATTCTCTTTGTTCTGGCTTTAAATCCTCCATCTTGGGAATCGTTACCAGCACAAAATGTCTGGGTCTTCGCTGATTGGCTGGTGCTCGGACTTACACTTTCAGGGTTTTTGCAAATCGTCTATTGTATTCTGATTCCTGACCTAGTTGCTGGAAAGAAATTAAATTGAGTGCAGGCACTAGGTGGCGCCGGCCTGGCTGCAGTGACCCTCCAAAGACATTGATTTGATAAACACACATTGAGTTGTATTTTTTTTCATTCATTCATTAAACATCATGAACTTATAACAAGTCCATTTTGTGTAATATAGGATCTTTAAAGTACCACTGTTTTGTCCAGTGTAATAAAGCCTTGAAACTGTATTTGTATAACTGTATAACTGTAAATTTAAAATATAATTTAAATTAAAATGTCTTTAACAGGCGACCCTCCTTTTGCCCATTCCATACATGCACGGCTGTGGAGGATCTCTAATTCACGAAGAATGGATTCTCACTGCTGCACATTGTTTCATGTTGTAAGTGTATCATTTAATCATAGTACTTTATGTATGTGGTCTTATATATGTGTAATCCCTCAGTGGTCCAGGTAGGTTGATTAGTGGGCCATGGGCATGTACTAGTTGGTGGAGCCTAAACCCAGTTTTGTAATTTTGTAGTATTTTCATTACTGAGATAATTATTCTTTTTTTTGTTTGATTTACACTGGAAAAAACAATATCTAGGTAAGTTAAAACGACTTAAATTAAGAACATTTTACTTGTGTTATTATCTACCAGTGGAATAAGTCTGTTTTTCTTGATTCAAGCAACATTCGATTTTGTCTCTTATTTTAAGTGCAAAAAAAATGTTATTTTTCTTATTTTAAGTGTAGAAAGATGTATTTTCATAATTTAAGCACAAAACTGGCTAGATTTTATTTTTTGCAGTGTTATTTTTTGATGTGTTATATTTACTAAAAATGCATGATTTTTGGTAATTTTGGTAATTCTTTATGGTTAACATGATTATTTGTTGATTATTTGCTTAAAAATAATTTGATTTATTTACATTTTTCTTTCAATTAATTATTGCTAATGTTAATCATAAATTTACCCAAGTAATGTTTATTTTTTGTAATATTTTTCGGTCTAAGGCTGCTTATTTAAGACACATCATGGAAGCCGAACAGTTTTTTGCCTCCTGTCAATCTTGACCTGTTAAAGTTCCCCTTTTGTGTGATTTATTTGTCCTCAATTATATGTGAATACTCAGTGAAGAGTTTTTAACTGCACCTGGATCGCTCCCCATGGATTTATTTCTGAGGCTTTTTAAAAAGTGGAACAAGGTGCACAAAGCGTCGATCTATGGCTTCACAAATGTCTGGACCTGACACTAGTCTATGTGCTTTTATACTTGTTCTGATACAGCTTAAGATCGTTCTAAAGCGATTCAGGAAAGGTTCATTTCTGCCCTGTGATTGTGACTTTTTTAGTATCGATACCTGCTCAAATGAGTATCTAGTTTCGATAGTTTTAGCATCAATTAGTGTATGATTCCTACACTTTGATACCCCTAATCTACATTCACTGGAAAAAAAAACAAAAAAACAATATCTAGTTAAGTTAAAGTGACTTAAATTAAGAATATTTTACTTTATTTGAGTAGATTCAACTTGACAAGTAAATTGATCTATCAATGAATAAGCGTGTTTTTCTTAATTAAAGCAACTTTTGATTTTGTTTCTTATTTTAAGTGTAAAAAGTTCTTGTTTTTCGTATTTTAAGAGTGGCAAGATGTATTTTTATAATTTAAGTACAAAAAGGCAGATAATTTTACTTGTTAAATGAAATTTACTGCTTTCTTAATTTAAGTCATCATAACTTGGCAAGATTTAGTTTTTTAGAGTGTTTAAACAATCTTATAAAGGTACATTGTGTAACTGGTGGAGGGTCCGTCAAATGCTTTTCTATCTTCATGGAGACCAAACCAGGCTAAGTTACAGGTCAGATCTGTGGAGAGGCGACCCCGCTCACAGTCAGAATACATGTTTTTCTATGTATTTTTGAGCTATAAAACCATTTGAAACTGAATAAATGTAAAGAAGAGCTGTTTAATGTCATACTGTTGAACGATCAAGGAAGAGAACATGACATATCCACCAAAAAAGTTACACAATGCTCCTTTAAATATGTATGCATCATTTTGATTCTGCTTCTTTCTTCACCGCAGCCCTCTGAACAAACCCTCTTTTTGGCGAATGTGTTTGGGGAAGCACCACATGAACTCCTCGGCGGACGTCCCATCGGCGGAGGCGTGTTACAAAGTGGACGGCATCATTCGTCACGAGGGCTTTGTGTACGAGCAGGACTCCTCAGACATCACCAACGACATCGCCCTGGTCCACCTGTCGGAAAAGGTCAACATGAGCAGAGAGATCAGCCCCGTGTGCCTGCCCAAACCCGGGGCCGTGATGCCCGCCGGGACGCCCTGCTTCGTCACGGGATGGGGCGATGAAAAAGGTACACAGATATGAGAGTTAGGGTTGTCAAAACTGAAGTATTGAAAATCAGATGCTAATTTGAAGAATCCAAATACACTTTATTTCTATAACACATTTTAGAAACAAAGATAGGGAGCCCACCTGATGACGTACGCGAAAAAAGACACTAAATGGTGGCCTCAAATTACTATTTCATTCCCACAATATGTAATTCATTCTCACGTTTTAGCTAAATCATTCACACCCATTCATCCATCCATCCATTTTCTTCCGCTTATCCGGAGCCGGGTTGTGGGGGCAGCAGTCTAAGCAGGGACTCCCAGACTTCCTTCACCCCAGACAGGTCCTCCAGCTCCTCCGGGGGGACCCTGAGGCGTTCCCAGGCCAGCCGAGAGACATAGTCCCTCCAGCGTGTCCTGGGTCTTCCCGGGGCCTCCTCCCGGTGGGACCTCCCGAGGGAGGCATCCAGGAGGCATCCGGAACAGATGACGAGCCACCTCAACTGGCTCCTCTCAACGTGGAGGAGCAGCGGCTCTACTCCTCTCGTGTGACTGAGCTCCTTACCCTATCTCTAAGGAAGCGCCCAGTCACCCTGCGAAGGAAACTCATTTTGAGCTCTTGTATCTGCAATCTTGTCCTTTCGGTCATTACAAAGAGCTCATGACCAGAGGTGAGAGTAGGAACGAAGATTGGCCGGTAAATCGAGAGCTTCGCCTTTCAGCTCAGCTCCCTCTTCACCACAACGGTCCGATACAGCGACCGCATCACTGCTGACACTGCACCGATCCGCCTGTCAATCTCACACTCCATCCTCCCCTCACTCATGAACAAGACCATGAGATACTTAAACTCCTCCACTTGAGGCCACCCGGAGAAGGCAAGACACCTTTTTCCGGCCAAGAACCATGGCATCGGACTTAGAAGAGCTGATCTTCATCAGCATGTTTTAGTTAATTTGTTCCCATGTTTCAGTTAATTTGTTCCCACTTTTAGTCAATTTGTTCCGACGTTTTAGTTAATTTGTTGAGACGTTTTAGCTAAATCGTTCCCACATTTTCACTAAATCGTTCCCACATTGTAGTTAATTTGTTCGTACGTTTTAGTTAATTCGTTCCCACATTTTTGCCAGTTTGTACACATCACTACGGGGTCAGCCCATAGTTCTGAAAGCCCATTAGTCCGACCACACACACAGTAGAGATGCTGGATGCCTTGTAACAGGATAAACTGTTCGTAAATTCGAAGTGTGTGCACGCGCACGCGTGCATGCGTGAATGGGCTTTCGGAACAATGAGCTCACCCTGTAGTGATGTGTACGAATTGCCTAAAACGAGGAAACGAGTTAGCTAAAACGTGGGAAAGGCGGGCTCCCTAGCTTTGTTTGTTCTTGTATATTTTTGGGAGCTTGTGGGCGGAGCCTTGTACAAAATCTTAGAGCTAAACATAATGAAGGTTTGAATAGGGCCTGGCGTAGAACATGTGTAGATGACCCTAAACCCTCTTCAGGCATGTTTTTCAAGATTTAAGGTTCTTCATTTGTCATTCAAGCATGCGAGAGAAACACAACAGAACCATATGTGTTTCTCAAGGCCCAATGATTAAGAGAAATAAAAACGATAATAAATAAGCAGTTTTAAAAAGTACATTAAGAGCATTTAGCAGCTCTGACAGTTAAGTACAAGTAGAATGTGTGGCAAGATAGAGAGGCAGACTAAGCAGGAAGTCAGTGTGCACCGTACAAAAGTCTGACAGCCTCAGTTTTTGATGAGGGAACAACATTATAACATGGTAGAAATCTCAAACATTTGCACTATACTCCCTCTTTAACATGTTTTTCACTATGTGCTTTCAGGAAACCTCTTCCCCAAAGTGGCTGAGCAGCTGAACCAGGCCGCCCTCCCCGTTATAGACTTCGCCACCTGCAGTAAGCCGGCGTACTGGTGGGACACTCTGAGGCCCTCTATGATCTGTGCAGGGTACGGCTCTCCTGATGAACTCAAGTCTGCCTGCCAGGTAAAGACTTACACTTACACTTACACTTAGACAAACTTTATTAATCCACGAGGGAAATTATTTGGACACAGTAGCTCACACATCACAATATAATAACAAAGAGCAACAATGTAAATAGTAATAATAAAATCTAAATAAGCAGTAAAAATAACAAAGCAAAAGTAACACAACACAGCTCTGTACACAACTGAATACAGGAAAATGGTTAGGCTACGTTCAGACTGCATCCTGAAGTGATTCAAAATTAGAGGTCTGCGCAGGACTGAATTTTCAGTCCCGCTCCTGCCCTCACCGGCACTGTGCAGTCCCGCTCCCGCAAGGAATCATAATTTTCAGTCCCGCGTTACATTGTCCTGCTCCTGCCCACAAGATGGGGAATTTTGCTTTCTTAAGCTCTATCAAACACAGAGAAGCAAAAAGGAATTGTCTAAAATGTGCGTGAGATTAGACCACAACGCATATTTAGGCTGCTCAAAATGTTTTAATTAATGTCAAATAAAATATGAGGCACAAATGATGTATGATAGGCATACATTCATCATTAGTATTTTTTACTTTACACTCATATTTAGTTTGCAGGACTGCAGTTTATCATTCCACCCGCCCGGTCAAGTGTCGTGTAGTCCCGCCCACGCTCGCAATGAGCTTTCAAAATGTGTCCTGTGCCGCACTGCTTTGCGTCGGGTCCCATGAGAAGCCCGCGGGAGTGCAGGGCTCTAATTGAAATCCAAGAAGTCTATTTGCTCTGTTAATTTGGGACAGTAGAAAAAAGGGGTGAGGTTCAATAAATATTTAAATCCTCCGACTCCTTTTCAGACACAAGTAAAATCTGAGTGACATTTATTTTTGGCTATCATAGAAAAGAAATATTTAGGTTTGGCATGATATCTATGTATTTACGTTTTCTATGCATGTTCTGTGCATTTCTGTCCGAATAAATATTCATTCATTCAATATAAAAGAAAATACTATGATTTAATATTGAAAATGACATTCTAAAAAGACTTTCGATTATCACCATGGTATCATAATCTGTATTGAGTAGGGGTTTAACGATATCCAAGTCTCACGATACGATATCATCACCATATGAACCTCACAGAACGATATTTATTGCAATATCATGGGAAAACTCACGATATCTCGGAGAGGCTCACGATTAGGGATGTAACAATATCTAAATCTCTCTGTATGATATTTTCATGATATTCATCTCACAGTACAGTATTTATTGCAATATTTTATGGAGGCAAACAAAACTGTGAATATACTACATTTCCTCTTAAAATCTTAATCCAAAAAACTAAGACTTAAAAGTGCTCAGAACTGTTATTTCTTCTTGTAGTCTACACTGAAATGCAAAGGATCATGGTCTATGTAGTTCACTCTGTCTTTTTTTCTTAAGCAATTGCTGCTCCATAACTTTTAATTTAACCAAAGAGACTTGTAATTCGATATATTGTGACGGTCCACGATATTATTGTGAGAACTTTGACGATACGATATCATGATATTTCGGTTATTGTTACATCCCTAGTACTGAGTATCAATTCTATTCTTTAGTATCGAAAATCAAGCTTGAAATTGTATTGTATAACAGTGACTCTTTGTCTACACTTGTAAATAGTTCATATAATTTAATAAAAATGTCTGAAAAATGCAAAAGAAAGCTAATTGTGTTAGATTAAAATAGTGGAGTATAGGTGTTCTGCCTCAGTTGATAAAAATAAATAAATAAATAAATAGTTTTGACTTTATCTGTTTTGTCTACTGCAGCTACCGTAGCTGCCATATTGTTTTAGGCTTTTCAACTGTCAGTGTCTTCTGCCAGTGTTTTTGTTTTAGCTGTTCTTGTCAGTTTTTTATTCCTGTGAACTGTTTTTTGGGCCTATAGAAATATCTGTCTGTGAGTATTGTAACACCAACATACTAACTCACTCTATGAGGCACTTTGAATTGTTTTATTTTTGAGATCCCTGATAAAATGTAATATGCTAGTAGCGTTAGCCTTTCTAAGGAGATTTCTATTGATGTTAGCATGATGCTAATTGGTTGTTGTATAGATGTTTTTTGTGATGTTGTTGATATTGTTGTATATATTTTGAATTGTTGAGTTGCCCTATGTTGTTTTATATAGCTCTGATTATTCTTTGTTTGTTGAAATGTAAAGATATAATTGTAATATGGATTTATTTTTTGTATGTTACAGTTTTACAGTCAACCTTCAGTAAATATCCAAAACAGCAAGAGGCTTCCTGGGTGCTTATTGAGGATACTGTTCGCTATCTGTAAAGCTAGTTCCGAAACGCTAGTGGAGGCAGAATAATAGGAGTGGGCAGTTTTTTTTAATTTTTTTTTGCTGTTGTTGTGGTTATTTTCACTTCTATTCTGATTTCACTTATGTTATATGTTCCATTGTATAAGAATGTAAATCTTTACTTGCTCAAACTAAATTCATTTAAAAGCTTGAAATGGTAGCATTATGACAGCACTAACCTCTGTACCTCTTTGCTCTGGTCCATAGGGAGACTCCGGTGGACCTTTCGCCTGTGAGTCTGCCGGCTCGCCCTGGGAGGTCCACGGCATCGTCAGCTTTGGGCCTCAGGGCTGCATCAAAGACAAGAAGCCGTCTGTGTTCACGCGCGTGTCCGCTTTCAGCCACTGGATCGAGCAAAACATCAAGAAGTTTGTGTTTGAGAAAAGCATCAGGTTCGACTAGAAAACACCTGAGCACCATTTCATAACTGTTCATACGTACTGATACTTTGCAGACCTGGTGGGGGGGTGACGCTAACTGTAGGCACTGCTCCGTCTGAGGCTTTGTGAGACTAAGTTTTCTGAAAACTTGAACAAAATGTGTTGTTAAAGTCCATTTTGTATTGTTTTTTCTTGACCTTTCAGATTTAAAACTTATTTGGCGGTGTTTCCTATTGTGCGCATTGCCTCACCATGGTAACTGCAGCACATTCCACTGTAGAAATACATGTAGAACACCCCCAGCGCTTCACTGCAAAGTATCAATGTAGAAAATTATTAGGAAAGTTATCATTTAAAGCAACACTGTGAGACTTGAGATATACTGTGTTATGTAGTAAAGTTGTTAAAATATTGAAAATCAGATACTAAAACCAGGATTGAAAATGGATACTCAATTTTTATTTAATTTTTTTAAATATATAGTTTTATTTATCAACACTTTCAGTTTAGAACACTGCCAGATAATCATTAAAATACACTTTAAGCATCAATTACAATAAATAAATATAAATTAAATAAACAAAAATAAATCAATACATTTAAATTCTATATGACTGACAAATTGGATACTCAATTTAACAAGTATCATTATGGAAACAGAAGTATATAAAGCCACATGGTGACTTAAAGGTGCATTGTGTAACTTTTCTGGGTCTGTCAAATGCTTTGTTATTGCTTTGTCTGGAATGTTTCACAGTATGGCATTAAACCTTTCTATCTTCTATCACGGAGATCAAACCAGACCAAGTTACAGGTCAGATCTGTGGAGAGGCGACCATGTTCACAGTCAGAATGTCTGTTTTTCTAGGTATTTTAGAGCTATAAAACCACCTGTAATTGAAAAAAAAAATTAAGGAAGAGCTATTTAATGTCACACCGTGGAACATTTCAGGCAGAGCAATGACATCTCCATAGAAACAAGCAGGTGATGTACCCCCAAACAAAGTTACATCTACTTTTTCTCCCGTCTTTGTGTTATCAAAATTAGTCTCCTATATCAAGCGTTTTCCTTAGTTTGAAATTTAACTTTTAGTTTCATGACACACTGATGTTATTATTCACATATTCTATCATTTTGAAGAATATTCAGCACAGAGACCCACAAAACCAACACTGTGAATCCTGAAAACTGCTGCTCTCTTTTATATACTGTGAATTAGGAGAACTTCTTTTATAGATTATTACAAATAAGTGTAGTGTAAAAGCTTAAAAGTATCTTGTAAATGGACAGAATACAATGTGTAAATAATTTGGAATAAAAGTGATCTCAGATATATATTTTGTGAAAGTTTGGTTATTTTTGTCACTATTTTTTAAGGATACAAAAAAAATGATATGGAAATTCTTATGTTCACTCATATAAAATGTAAAATAACTGTTGCCACTCTATAAAGTCACAATATTGTTTTTAAAGAGCCCATATTACACTATTGTCTGATCTGTGTTATAATATTGTTTCCTCATCATTAGGGGTGTGCAAAATTATTGAAATATTGATGTATCGTATCGTTTAATGTGATGATACAGTATCGATATCGTGGGCTGCTGTATCGATATATCGTCAAGAGTATTTTTTGGTAAATTTTACTAAATTATTTTGTTACAGCGCTACAGTTTTGTTGTTTGTTTAGAGGAAGGAAACTAGTTTATGTGACACATTTGACATTTTCACAGTTTTGATGAGGAAAATGTTTGTGTTTCATATTCAATTTGCACAAAAAGTGATTTAACATGAAATTAAATATATTGTATTGAACCGAAAGTGCACTGTATCGAGATAAGTATCGTATCGGCAACTTCTTGATGATACCCAGTCGTACTCATCATAAACAGACCTGGAGTTGTGTTTTGTTTCATTCACACATGCTTAATTAACACACAAACCCTGCATATTTCGGCTCTTTAGTTCTTCTCTCAAACAGAAAACACTCTGTCCCACCTTGTGATGCCATGTGGTGATACAGAAAGCGCTCCACTGTGTTTTTAAACTCCATACACCTTCACTAAAATCATTTGGATGATTTCAGCCCTGGAATTGCCAATCTTTACTGAATAAAATGTCAAAGGAGCTATTAACTTGAAACCCAGCAGAGCATTTTGAGCTTTGGAGATGTAAACAGACTAACAATAAAGGATTAGTCAAACATTTATGAATGAAACAAAACACAGCTCCAGGTTTTTGAGGAGGTAACCACATTATAACATGACTTAAAGCTCACAAGAGTCAGTTTTGAGTCATATAGGAGCTTTAATTTGCAGCCTGCACCACGTAG